CCCCCCATTCATAGAGTGCCATGCAACATTCACAAAAGTACTCTTAAAAGGTTATTCAGATTAAATTTTAATTAGATATCCATGATTTTGTACTTGGCAGTTTATCATCTTCATTTGTGGGTTCTTTATAAAGGTGACCGGCGAATATCTTGCTTCAGAAACAATGGAGAAATTATCAAAACAAACCATTTGTCCATGTTAAGGATCAGATTAAGGTTTCAAGGGAACCATTGTGAATCAGGCATGCCCCTTCTTAAATGAAGGGTATCCTAAAATTACAACGATAGTCCCTTAAAAGTCCTGTAAACTCCTGTAAAGTCCCTTTAAAGTCCTGTAAAGTCCTGTAAAGTCTCTTTAAAGTCCTGTATAGTCCCTTAAAAGTCCTGAATAGTCCTGTAAAGTCCCTTAAAAAATCTGTAAAGTCTTGTAAATTCCTGTAAAGTCCCTTTCAAGTCCTGTAAAGTCCTGTAAAGTCCCTGAAAAGTCCTTTAAAGTCCGTTAAAAGTCCTTTAAAGTCGCTTAAAAGTCCTGTAAAGTCCCTTAAAAGTCCTTTAAAGTGTAATAAATTCCCTTAAAAGTCCTGTAAAGTCCTGTAAAGTCCTGAAAAAGTTCTGTAAAGTTCCTTAAAAGTCCATTAAATTCCATTAAAAGTCCTGTAAAGTCTTGAAAAAGTCCTGTAAAGTTCCTTAAAAGTCCAGAAAATTCCATTAAAAGTCCTGTAAAGTCTTTTTAACGAATGAAATAAACTATTTCGTGAGGTTAAAGGGAACTAATCTAGGGGGAAATATTTTCAAATATGATTTTAAATTTTAAAATCTTGATAAGTTGGATTACTAGCCAGGAAGGGGATTTTTGCCTGAACTGTATGCCCTTCATACCTTTTCCCTTTTTTTCCTGAATCAATGTCAAAGATTGTCCAGACTGCAAAGGTAGCTTCACCATCGATTCACAATTCATTAGCTACCTTTTGTAAATCGTCTATGGTTCCCTTTAAATGTTTGGTTACATAAAAGTGACATCATGGTCCTTGTATTTTCTCGAGTTTATCCAGTAAGCATGGATAAATTATCTCCATGCATTTTTGCTATTTTCTTTATATGGTTAATATTGAAATCTGAAATAAAAAATGCCCAGTTTTCTCTAAAAATAATACGGCGGTTCTGACAGGTCAGGGAAAGCCAAAAGATTCCATGATACCGTAAATGAAGGCTTGATAAGACTCTCTCGCCCTAGGAAAAGACTCTATTTTGATTCCACGAAAAGAAAAACGTATCTGTTGAAGTGTTTCAAAGCCCTCTATTGTGCAATTTTTTAAAATTCCTTCTAATAAAAGAACTATATTAGAGTTTAAAGAAATAAAATAAAAATTGAGTTTGAAATAAAATGGCAGTCTCTCTATCAGATTCGGCAAAAGGTCTCCGAACAAGAAGGACATAATGCAGATGACAAAACCAAGGTTTGGAAAACGAGATATTCTTCAAGGAGTTGCAAGACCAAGGAATTCCAAAAATAAAAAATAAATTTGCTTGTGTGTGTCGGATGCAGTAGCCCAGCGCTTGGCTCGTTGCTTATTCCAGTCGCAGCGAAAAACCCCTAAACCTTGAAAAGACGACATAAAGTGTATACACGTATTGTTTTTAATCTATTGTTGTAAGCCAATTTTATATTTTGTATCATTTGTTTAATGGAATCCTAGGTTCGGAAAACGCAGTGCGGAGTTAGCAGTTGTTAAACGAAGGCCAGGTTATTTTTTTTATAAATATTATACAGGGTGTCCCAAAAAACATGGGAATTCAGTGACGAATTGGATATCGTCTTTGTTATGAATTAGCATTTTAATACCTATTTTCAATAGCCATAATATTATTATGTCTGCTAGAGTTTACTTTATGAAAAGGGTAAAAGACTGTAAAGATGTGTCAATAATGTATCCGTAAGATGAACAGTGAAGACGGACAAGTTTACTCTGTTTGAATACTGCAATTTTCTTGTTTTACTAAGTACAACCATATTCAGTCAAAACATAAACAAACAAAATGTGAACATAGCAGAGGAAACTCTTACAGATTACAACTTTCTCGGTAGGTAACACTATACTAAATCAAGGAATTATTTAAAAAGACGATATCGAATTCGTCACTGAATTCCCATGTTTATTGGGACACCCTGTACATATTATAAATATTATAAATATTATAAACATTATGAATATTACAAAAATCATAAATATTATAAATTTCATAAATATTATAAATATTATGAAAATTAAAACAATGAATTCTTAGATGTATCAAACTATGAATTCTTAGTTGTATCAAACTATGAGTTCTAAGATATTTCAATCTATGAACTCAGGTTGCAAAAGTAAAACTATTTGAACGTTTTTGTGTGGCAAAGTTTCAATTTTTGTTTAGGATTCCCGCTTTTTAACGTTGCAGTGGAGGAGCCAACTAAGAGAGGAATGGGGATTAGTTACGCTATGGTAATATTTTAATCTTATCAAAAATGAAGAGCCTGTCTAAAATTCCGTCCACTTACAGATATTTGATAAAATTTTGATTAAAAACAATAGATTTTTCTTGTAGTAAAGGAACTGTAGACTAAAACAATAGATTTGTCTTGTTTTAAAGGAACTGTAGACGAAAACAATAGATTTGTCTTGTTTTAAAGGAACTGTAGACGAAAAAAATAGATTTGTCTTGTATTAAAGGAACTGTAGACTAAAACAATAGATTTGTCTTGTATTAAAGGAACTGTAGACGAAAACAATAGATTTGTCTTGTATTAAAGGAACCGTAGACTAAAACAATAGATTTGTCTTGTATTAAAGGAACTGTAGACGAAAACAATAAATTTTTCTTGTATTAAAGGAATTGTAGACTAAAACAAAAGATTTGTCTTGTTTTAAAGGAACTGTAGACGAAAACAATAGATTTGTCTTGTATTAAAGGGAATGCAGACGAAAACAATAGATTTGTCTTGTATTAAAGGAACTGTAGACTAAAACAATAGATTTGTCTTGTTTTAAAGGAACTATCAACGAAAACAAAAGATTTGTCTTGTAGAAATAGTTTTAAGAGTTCCTCCAGCGAGATATGGCCGCGTTCGGCTCTTTTCATTTCGTTCGTTTGTGAACGACCCATTTTTTTCAATTGTTAAAAAAATATATAACGATTTTGTTCGTCCTCAAAAATATTTTGTTCGTTTTCTCACTAATAAGTTTGTTAAAAATATGTTTAAAAAATCAGGTATTCAGGAAATAAAAGATCATTTTTTCAAATTCTTTTAGAAAATTTATTCGTTCATAAAAAAACTATTGTTTTTTCAAGATCGTTCGAACGATTTCAAATCGTTCTTTTTGTGTTTTTATTGTTCATTTTTAAAAATGATGGTTTTTGTCATTTCTCAAAAATTTTCCAAATTGATAAAACTAACTCCTTCATCATTTATCAGTCAACATGTTAAAGGATACCGTTGCTCATTGGTCATGCAACTCAACAAACTGAGAAACACTTTAACTCTCTTATTTGCAGCCCCGGAGCCTGATTGCTTTGGATAAAGAGGGAATCGAGAAACGTGGAATGGAGTTAGGAAACTTGGCACGCCCTAGGTAGGACGGATTAAAGGGAGTGTACCCGATTTTGAAAGAGATTATGACAAACAAATTTTAATTATGGTTATCACAACCTCCCCCCCCCCTTCCAACAATATCTATGATTTAAAAATATGAACAGATGTTTTTCAAAAGTCTATAGATAAAATTGCATGCAGTGGTTTCCTGCAGTTGGTTCGTTGTTGGCTTGTTGTTGGCCTGGAGTTTCTTTGAGGGAATACATTATTAACTAAATGTTCTTTAAAGGGAGTGTTCGCAAAAAAAATAAAAGGGGGTATAGGCTAACGGCGAAAAATTATTGATAGTGATTGCTATTAATCTTTCTTCTATCTGTTGCGTCATAGGGAGAAAAGTGTTAAAAACGACTCATAACGTAGCTGCCATACAAATTCAGAAAATTTCAACATTCGACTCGGATCGTAAAACAAATAATTATATTGCAAACAAATAATTCAGATATTACAATCTATAATCTTCTATGATTTTTCAACGCATTATTTTTTTGATCTGATATTCACTTTTGAAAAAAATTTATTCCTGTTTCGAGGATTTTTGATAATGAAGACGACATTTCATATTTACCAGGAATGTTCGTAAATCTAGCGCCAGCCGTGAAAACAAGTTGAAAGTTGAATATTGATTTTAAAAAAAAATCAAAAATATTATGAAATGTGAACTAAAATACGAATGCAACAAAAAATTATGGACGATTTGCTAGGAATTAAATTGATTTTTTAAAGATCCTAGTCGAATGCCTTTTTCTGAATTTGTATATGGACGACGTATAGCTTCCATCCCGCAATTTACTCACAAACATAGACTTGCGGCAACACGCTCACACTTCCTTAGCCACACCCAAACATCTTCCGGCAAAATTTCTTGTGATTTTCTTCTAAAATATAATGTTTTGTACACTGATGTTATTCTTCTCTAAAATGTTTTGTACTCTGATATTATTCTTCTCTAAAATGTTTTTAAAGGAAGAGAGAAATTCAATTTTTACCAGAAATAACACAATTTTGAGTGAAATTCGTTTGAAAATTATCTAAATCCATATATCTAGGGATGTTAACGTTTTCATTTTTTGAAAAACAATCGTTTTATTACAAAAACGATCGAAAAACGGAACAAAAAACCATCAACCTTCGTTTTCAAAAATGATTAACAACCCTATATATATTTGATTTTAGATAATTTTAAAACCGAATCGCACGTAAAACTGCATTATTTTTGTTGAAAATAGAATTTCTCTTTACCTTTAAAACATTTTTAGATAAAATCAGCATAAGCTGAAATGTGCAAAATATAACATTTAGGAGTCCTCAGGTTTATCATTGAATCCCGAGGGAGTTTAAATTTCCATTGACTTGTCTGAGAGTAAATGACATTCCTTTGTAAAAAATAACAAATTATTTTCAATATTTATTATTATTTTTAAAAAGGGGGGGGGGGGGGATTAAATGAAAATTGTTGCATAGGAAAAAACCAGCTTTTTATAAAGGAATGATTTTTTTGCCAGTTTTTTTAAAAAAAATTTAATTGTAATTGTAATAGTAATTGCTATTGAAATTGTAAATTTGATTGTAATTGTAATTTGTAATTGCAATTGTAATAGTAATTGTTATTGAAATTGTAAATGTGATCGTAATTGTAATTGTAATAGTAATTGTTATTAAAAACTGTAAATTAAATTGTAATTGTAATAGTATTTGTTATTGAACTTGTAAATGTAATTGTAATTGTAAAAAATCTAAATGATTCAGGTTTGGAAAGCGAAGTGTGAATGTTGCAGAAATGTGGAAACGCGGATATCAGGAGATGATCAGGCCCAGGTCTACCTTCACTCTTTTAGTAAAGGGACTGTTTACTTATTTCTAAAGGAATTCTGAGACTGCAATATATTAAAGGGACTGTAAGCGTACTTTTAAGGGACCCTCCAAGCAAAGATGACAATGCCTGATTCACAATGGTACCTAGACTAAATCTTTAAATCTTTGTCTGATCAAATTAGAATTATATATCAATTTTTATATGTTTTTTTTTGATAGTTTATTTACCTAATTCAATGACAATTGCGCATTTCCACTACAAGAAATCGTAAAGGAATGATCTAAATTAAACATTTTTAAACCTTTAGAAACAACAATATCTTCCACATTATGATAAGATAAATGTTTCAAGTTTATGAATTATACGACGTTTCCGTCGATAGCGCTTTAAATGCATGGTACTCCACATATGAGAGTCCAATAATAGGTTTGGGAGTTATTTATTTTTTGTAGATTTGGTAAGAGATCAGCAGCTGTAGAAAATATGGAATCAATGAATCAGTGAATACGATTTCACTTTTTATCAAAGAGAAATACACATTATACCCAATTTTTTTAACTTGTAAAAATCCCTAGCTTTCTAGAAAAAACAAAAAACTAATTGAAATCGACGAAAACCGCATTTAATTCATCAAGTTTGCCATATTTTATTTTATTTTAGATTTTTAAAAGTTTGTCAGTACTGGTATACCAACGAGGACATTTGTCAGTACTGGCATACCAACGACGACTTTTCAACACAAGATTTAATAAAATTCAATAAACTGATTTTAATGTTACTATTGAAACTTTTATCTATGTAACACCATAAAATACAAGGTTGCTGTAATGTTGTCCACATTTCCTGGTTCTCACATTTACTATTGATCAAAAAACATTTTTTGTCGTAAAATTGGCACAAATTCCACTTTCATTTACAATTGATTAAAGCCCTATTACATTTAGGAAAATAACCAAAATTTTAATATTCGATCTCCGATCGATCAACTACAATATTTGATTTATAATTAATCAAATATCATATTTAATTTTAAACTGATCTTACATCATATTTAATTTATAATTGACCAAATATCATATTTGATTTTAAAATTGATCTAATATTCTATTTTACTGATTGATCTAATTTCATATTTAATCGAAAACTGATCAACTATAATATTCAATTTATAATTTACCTGATATATTTGATTTATTATTGATCTAATATTATATTTTTTTTATGATTGATCAAATATAATATTTGATTTATAACTGACCTATTGAATTGTTTATGAAACAGGTTTGGAAAGAGATCTGCTCTTGAAAATATGATCCGTCCTAGGTGATACAAATTCAATATTTTGGACAATATATTAAGGGAAGTGTTCGCGAAAGACAATAGGGGATTAATAGATGAAACATACCTGCAGGATTACTCACAAAGGATGAGTCATAATAAACCTTCATATTGGCATACTCTAAGAGTTTAAGGTCGTCTGTAAAGCCTCATCCATTGTGAGTACCCCTGTATCTATCTACAGTAAAGTGGCAGAGAATGGAAAGGGCTAGATTCATAAAATAATTAACTATAACAGATAAGACACTAGATTTAGGGGGGTTTCATTCACAATAACCCTGAAGCAGAAGCCCAAAGGAGTTCCGCACCGACACAGGCAGAGTTCATTTGCAAGACAGAGAGAAAGCATTCGCTGCCTGCGTGGAACTCCGTTGGTTATTTAATCTATAGTTAGATAAAAATGCATTTATTTGACATTTAAAAAAATACAGTAAAATTTTTAACAAATATCAAAAAGGAATTTCCAGTTATGTAAGAAAAGATAGCTTTTAAATATTATTTTACTATTTTTTCAGATTTGGGAAACGATCAGGACTTGAGAATATGATACGTCCAAGGTAGTATTTCTTTTTCAAGGAGGGTTTAAGCGTGATTTAACCCTACCCTCCCATGCACTGATGGCAATGCCCGATTTACACGGTACCCTTGAAACCGTTATCTGGTCAATGTTATAGAAATATTGACATTTTTATAGGCTTTGAAGTGGTTAATCTGTAAAATTCCTGTATGTGTTTCCATGCCCTAGAAATGCATAAGTAAATTTTGTGAAGAAGCCACAATTAAAAATAATAGGTTTCCAAAATTACAAACATTGATAAATACGTGATATCAGACAACTATGTTAAGGTTATTGTTGTAAATCGGGCATTGAGGGTCAGTTTAAGTTATGCAAACCTACTTAAAGAATATAAAAAATGTCAAAATTTTTTACTTTTTTTAATCTAACTTATTCTGACCATTCTTCCAGTGCGCTTTACACTGTATACAAGTCTACACGTGTCATAGTCTCTTGCTTGTTAAAATTGTAGCTATAATTTTTAGCATTTTAACTATTTCATGATCTTGACTGTTTTTGTTTCATTGGTTTAGTCTTACTTTGCAGTCTTTACTTAACTTTTGCAAATTGCAATACTTTTTTAAAAATCTTTCTTGTTTATATACATATACTTTCATGTTTATATATATACACTTTACTTTCATGTTTATGTATATATACTTTCATGTTTATATATATATACTTTCTTTTGTTTCAGATTCGGAAAGAGATCAGCCATTGAAAATATGATTCGTCCCAGGTAAATCTCATTTTTCATTCTCTACTATTTTTTTCACATTTGTGCGCAATCCCGTTATGCCATCTTCAGTCTACCTGTAAACTCTAAAAATTAGCTCTTTAGTTGCCTGAAAGTTGGCTCGGTACTTCAGTACGTCTATATGTTAACTGCACAATTAGCTCTTTAGTTGCCTAAAAGTTGGCTCGGTACTTCAGTACGTCTATATTTTAACTGTACAATTAGCTCTTTAGTTGCCTAAGAGTTGGCTCAGTACTTCAGTCTACATGTAAACTACACAATTAGCTCTTTAGTTGCCTAAAAGTTGGCTCTGTACTTCAGTCTACATGTAAACTGCACAATTAGCTCTTTAGTTGCCTAAGAGTTTGCTCAGTACTTCAGTCTACATGTAAACTGCACAATTAGCTCTTTAGTTGTCTAAAAGTTGGCTCAGTACTTCAGTCTACATGTAAACTACACAATTAGCTCTTTAGTTGTCTAAAAGTTGGCTCAGTACTTCAGTCTACATGTAAACTACACAATTAGCTCTTTAGTTGTCTAAGTACTTCAGTCTACATGTAAACTACACAATTAGCTCTTTAGTTGTCTAAAAGTTGGCTCAGTACTTCAGTCTACATGTAAACTGCACAATTAGCTCTTTAGTTGCCTAAAAGTATGCAAGGTACTTCTATACTTCTAAAGAAAGGGAAATTTCAGTGGGTTAGATTAATTACGCCTTCTAGTTTTGAAAATATTTGTTGGGGGTATTGCATTCAAATTGGTGAACAATCCTATTATTATGTGTCATAAAGGGACTGTAAAAGTGGCACTCCATGCAAAAAGTGTGCGTAAACAGCTGCAAATTCCGGTGTGCACAGCGTTGAGTTTAGAAGCTGCACTGTTTGTTCTCAGACTAAAGGCCAAGATAATATCAAAGCCACTTAAACGCAATTGAAAGGGACAGTAAAGGAAAAATGAAAGGGGGTATAGGCTGAAAGCTAATCAATTGATTTTTACGTAATTTGGCTTGCTGGGTAAAATTTCACATAGTTATTGTAAATTTTAATATTTTTTAAGTTAAAAAAGTCTGTCAACACACTAAACAGAAAATCGATAACAAAAGCTTTATTTCCTAAAAAATAACATAAATTATAGGTCATGGTTACTTGTACAATGTTATAATGAATATTAATAATAGAAAAAATCTTACGATTTATCAAGTTGTGATAGGGGGAGACTTATTGTTGATCAGTATAGAAATACGTTTTTTTAAACTTCTGAAAAATGACAGTTGAATATTTAACGAAATTCACTAATGCTTCTTATGAAAATATTCTTGCTTAACTTTAATGATTTCACAATAACGAAAATATTTTAAGCTCCGTAGGACGGAGTACAAAGGGAATGCGGGCTGAAAATTTGGTTTGGCTTTCTCCGAGAGGAGATTCAAGTTGAAGACGACATTATGCGGAGGTCTTAAAATTAATGGTTAACAACTATATTTACAAAAAACATATAAAGAATACTAATGGTATGGAGAAGAACACTTCAGTGTCGTTCCCGCCTCGATTGGCAGGAGTATCTAGGTACAACCATCCCTTTAAGAGAGTGCAGTGTTCGCGAAAAATGAAAGTGGGTTTAGGCATACGGCAAAAAAAAAGCGCTTATCGTTACTAATCTTACTTCTATCTGTTTGCGTCCATACAAATTCAGAAGTTGTAACATTCAACTCGGATCATAAAAAAATCAATTTAATTCCTAAAAAATCATTCAGATATTACAAACAATAGTCATCGATTATTTTTATACGCATGTAATCTATTATGTAATCATGCTAGTAATATCTGATTTATCTAAGTTCGTTTATCTATCTTATGATGTTTCATGTTGACCCTGACTGGCCATTACGGTCAGTTGAATTTCACCTGTATATAAAATAAATTAGTTCAATAGGATTTGTCGTTTATTACGGACGTACACATAGCCTTGAGTTTTGGCTAAGGATAGAGAGCCTTGAGTTTTGGCTAGAGATAGAGTCAGTTAGATTCTAATTAGACTTTGAGTAAAGTTATCCTTAAAGTATCTCGCATCTAGATTTCTTACACACATTCCTTTAAAGTTAATATTTCATAACATTTTTGATTAAAACAAACAATTTTTTTTTGAAAATGTCGTCTTCATTTTCAAAAATCCTCGAAACAGGAATGAATGTTTTCACAAGTAACTATCAGATTATAAAAAATTCAAATATTGAACAAATATTAATATTCAGATTTGGGAAGCGGGCTTCAGATATAGCGGATATGATGATGCATCAAAGGTTAATTAAACATATAATTTTTAACCATTAACATTTTAGTTTTTTTTCTCCGAATTTTCTGAAATTATATTTATTAAACTATACTTAGCGAGGACATGAGTTTAGAGTTACCCCTGGAGATCTGGGAAAACTATCAAGGTAAAAAACAAAGAGAATAGAATATATATTCGAGTGAAATTTACTAGAAAAAAGTGTAAAACGGCCATTTTGTTGTACTGTTTCCATACTGCAGGTTTACTTTACATATTTGCGCTATATAACCTTTTGGGCCCTGGAACATCATTTTATAGAAAATCTAAAATCAATATTAAAAGAAAACCAAATTATGAAATAGGCTGGTTTCATAATTGACCAATGATTATTTCACATTGACTCTATGCCTTTAACTTTACGAACGATGATTTTCCGTTATATTTATAAATCAAATGATGTTTTTTATTCATCTAATTCATTATAAAGTTTATTTAAAAGCTTTAAACAATTCAAAATTGAAATGGATAGTCTTGGGAACATACTGTGTTAATGTACTCTACTGTATATAATTTGTGAACATTTACATGATTTGTACACTTTGAACTTCCTTTCATACCGAGGGGTTGTCTAAATTCCACTCTAATATATATTCTATATTCTTTGGTAAAAAAAGATCGTTCAAATTTTTCTAAGGGACAAAAAAAGAATACATAATTATGAGTTGTCAGTTTGTTCTAATTTACATAAAACTAGCTGCCCGTAAAAAAAATCAGCCCATTCGGTTCAGCCGTTTGGTCGGGAATAGGAAACATATATACGAATGTCTTGTTTAATTATAAAGATAATTGCAATGAATTAAAAAAAAATTTTTTTTTTAGAATTTTAAACTTTCTGAAATAAAATGTTGCCCTGTTTTTACCGTAAACATTTCCGTTTTTTGAAACTTAATTACAGGAGAGGACCTAGATGATTCTCTTTGGATGATTTTACCAATTCACGAGAACCAGTCGGTAAATATTATAATTTTAAAAAGAAGATTAAACTATTTTTAAACGATTAAAATGTCTGACCAAATCACGTAAAGTTAAAATAAAGTTAGATTAAAATGTTACATGTTTCATATCCCTCTTATAGAAATTGCAATTGTAAAAATGATTTGATTACTATGAAGTTTGTGACCAAATAAATTTGCTTTTAGAGGAGTTACGAGGTCCCAAAGTTGAGTCGGTAATGTCGCACTTGACCATTTCATTGTGGAAGGAAAACAGCTGTTTAGTTTATTGTAAAACTAATGTTTGTAAACAGTGAAACCCTTAATAATGAATACATCAGAAGATTGTAACAAATGTCGTCTTGACAATTTTTCAATGAGTTTTATACTATATTACGTAAATATCAGTATTTGCTAAAATAAATAAATAGCCATGAATATGCGGGAACAGTTTTAAAGAGTTCCATATAATCATTTAATTAAAAAAAATAAATATCTGCAACATTCCATTATCAGAAAGTGAAGAATACGACATTTGATGAATTCTCTCGATGTATTCGTTATTAAGGGTTTTACTGTATGATTTTAAAATTTTCAATTTTATCTTTAGGAATACAATTTAATACCTTCTCAACTTGAGGATGAAAGTGATCTGAAAGGTATATCGTACAATGGTAGGCGATTATATTAATACAATGAAGACGATATTTTTAGAGTTTTGATTTTTTAACAAGCTTTTTCAAATTACAAGTTTTAAAAAAATCGAAGAGAAGCTTTTTATATTGAAGCTTCTCTTGACTTCTATGTTTATCTGTATAATGCTGTGTATAATGCTGTGTATAATGCTGTGTATAATGCTGTGTATAATGCTGTGTATAATGCTGTGTATAATGCTGTGTATAATGCTGTGTATAATGCTGTGTATAATGCTGTGTATAATGCTGTGTATAATGCTGTGTATAATGCTGTGTATNATTTTAGTACTAGACAAACAGACAAGCCAAATTTATATATAGATGAAAAGGTCAAAAGACTGTAAAGAAATGTCTTATAATGTCTCCGCAAGATGAACAGTGAAGACGAACAAGTTTACTCTGTTTGTATACTGCAATTTTCTTGTTTTACTAAGTACAACCGTATGCAGTCAAAACATAAACAAACAAAATGTAAACATAACAGACGAAACTCTTACAGATTACAGCTTTCTCAGTAGGTATCACTATACTATGTATCAAAGAATTTTTTAAAAAGACGATATTGAATTTGACACTGAATTCCCATGTTCATTGGAACACCCTGTATGAACAAATTTTATTGGATGAAATGTTCATTTGAACTACTTTATTGATAAAGCTAACCATATCAGAGTTTTATCAGCCATCCACCACCACACCGTCAATACCGTATCTATAATATTTCTTTCTTTTATTATCGAGCAACTGGGGAGCTAATATGAAAACAGCTACAGCATATAGAAGTTCTCCAGACGCAGAACATTAATCAGTTGTCAATTAATCTACCACTTGTAATAATAATTTTTAACAATGTTTCTGCGTAAATAAATAATATTTGATTTGATTTGATTTGAAACTTATTTTATTTTAATGGAAGACGACATTTTATACTTACTCCTTTAAAGCACGGAAAAGAAAGACAGGCCTGATGCAGGATTCCAAAATCCCCTTTTCCTGTAGAATATTTTCGGCGTAAAAAATTATCGCATTGTAGCGGACAAGTCGTCCTACTTTCCGCCGTAATGTCTGCAAGTACTTTCCTCATACAGGGTGTCCCAAAAAACATGGGAATTCAGTGACGAATTCGATATCGTCTTTTTAAATAATTCTTTGATTTAGTATAGTGATACCTACTGAGAAAGCTGTAATCTGTAAGAGTTTCGTCTGCTATGTTCACATTTTGTTTGTTTATGTTTTGACTGCATACGGTTGTACTTAGTAAAACAAGAAAATTGCAGTATACAAACAGAGTAAACTTGTCCGTCTTCACTGTTCATCTTGCGGAGACATTATAGACACATCTTTGCAGTCTTTTACCCTTTTCATAAAATAAACTCTAGCAGACATAATAATATTTTGGCTTTTGAAATTAGGTATTACAGTGCTAATTCATAACAAAGACGATATCAATTTCGTCACTGAATTCCCATGTTTTTTGGGACACCCTGTATAAACTCATGTGATAAACATTTAAAAATCGCCATCTTTGATATATATTTTCTTCGTACATTTTTATACAAAATAGTGGCTATTTACAAATTTAAAATGAGAGGTTGTGATACTTTTTGCGTGTAACTTGTTTTGTTTTCTTTCTTTTTAAGTACTGATCTTATCACTGATTTTATTACTGATTTTATTATATTTTATTACTGATTTAATTACTGATCTATTACTGATTTTATTATGATTTTATTAATGATTTTATTAATGATTTTATCACAGATTTTATTACTGATTTTGTTAATGATTTTATCACTGATTTTATTACTGATTTTATTAATGATTTTAGTACTGATTTTATTACTGATTTTATCACTGATTTTTTCACTAATTTTATTACTGATTTTAGTACTGATTTTAGTACTGATTTTAGTGCTGATTTTTGTACTGATTTTATTACTGATTTTATTACTGATTGTTTCACTGATTTTATTACTGATTTTATTACTGATTTTAGTACTGATTTTAGTACTGATTTTATTACTGATTTTATTACTGATTTTATTACTGATTTTATTACTGATTTTAGTACTGATTTTTTCACTGATTTTATTACTGATTTTATTACTGATTTTATTACTGATTTTATTACTGATTTTATTACTGATTTTATTACTGATTTTATTACTAATTTTAATACTGATTTTAGTACTAATTTCAGTACTGATTTTAGCATTGATTTTAGTACTGATTTTATCACTGATTTTAGTACTGATTTTTATTACTGATTTTAGGACTGATTTTATTACTGATTTATTACTGATTTTTCACTGATTTTATTACTGGTTTTATCACTAATTTTAATACTGATTTTATCACTGATTTTAGTACTGATTTTAGTACTGATTTTATCACTGATTTTAGTACTGATTTTAGTACTAAGTTTAGCAATGATTTAATTACTGATTTTATTACTAATTTTAATACTGATTTTATTACTGATTTTAGTACTGATTTTAGTACTAAGTTTAGCAATGATTTTATTACTGATTTTATTACTAATTTTAATACTGATTTTATTACTGATTTTAGTACTGATTTTAGTACTGATTTTAGTACTAAGTTTTTCACTGATTTTATTACTGATTTTAGTATTGATTTTAGTACTAATTTTAATTCTGATTTTATTACTGATTTTATTACTGATTTTATCACTGATTTTATTGCTGATTTTAGTACTGATTTTATTACTAATTTTATTACTGATTTTATCACTGATTTTATTACTGATTTTACTGATTTTATTACTGTTTTTTTCACTGATTTTATTACTGATTTTAGGACTGATTTTATTACTGATTTTCGTACTGATTTTATGACTGATTTTATTACTGATTTTATTACTGATTTTATTACTGATTTTATTACTGATTTTATTACTGATTTTATTACTGATTTTATTACTGATTTTATTACTGATTTTATTACTGATTTTATTACTGATTTTATTACTGATTTTATTACTGATTTTATTACTGATTTTATTACTGATTTTATTACTGATTTTATTACTGATTTTATTACTGATTTTATTACTGATTTTATTACTGATTTTATTACTGATTTTATTACTGATTTTATTACTGATTTTATTACTGATTTTATTACTGATTTTATTACTGATTTTATTACTGATTTTATTACTGATTTTATTACTGATTTTATTACTGATTTTATTACTGATTTTATTACTGATTTTATTACTGATTTTATTACTGATTTTATTACTGATTTTATTACTGATTTTATTACTGATTTTATTACTGATTTTATTACTGATTTTATTACTGATTTTATTACTGATTTTATTACTGATTTTATTACTGATTTTATTACTGATTTTATTACTGATTTTATTACTGATTTTATTACTGATTTTATTACTGATTTTATTACTGATTTTATTACTGATTTTATTACTGATTTTATTACTGATTTTATTACTGATTTTATTACTGATTTTATTACTGATTTTATTACTGATTTTATTACTGATTTTATTACTGATTTTATTACTGATTTTATTACTGATTTTATTACTGATTTTATTACTGATTTTAGTACTGTTTTTATTTGTATGCATTGTAAAATATGCGAGGTCGAGTTTCGCAGGGGTCTAAAGTTGCAAAAACCCAATTACTTTATACACTACTCAAATATTAGGTTTTTCGGATTTATCAAATTGTACAAAAAATCTGATCGTTTTTATATTTTTACTTGACCAAATATTGGTAAGTCACATTGAGATGTCGCTTGGATGTACACGTGTACACGTGTACACGTGTACACGTGTACAAACTCCTGGTATAAGTTTTCCGATTCCTGCGCGCAGAAACACTAACTTCGGCTTTATTTATTCTGAATGTCATGCATGTTTTTATCATTTAACCCTATCTCTGCTGGGGTACTTGAAAACCAGGATATATTGGGGGGGGGTCAATTTGACCCCCCCCCCTCNAAAAGGTTATATAGCACAAATATGTGAAGTACACCTGCAGTATGGAAACAGTACAACAAAATGGCCGTTTTACACTTTTTTCTAGTAAATTCCACTTTAATATTTATTCTATTCTCTTTGGTTAATTGTTAAGAGAGAAACTTTTCTTCTCGATGAATGAGCCAAATACTTAGATCTCACTTATTAAACTGCTTAGTCCAAACTCTTTTTCCTGTCAAGGGACATATAGTGTTCAAATGGTTAAATAAATAGTAGAGCAAACTTCATATAGTTATACAGTTAATTGATACAATTTATTATTGGTTACAATACAGCTTTAAGGATAATAACGATGATAACGAACAAAACAAGATAATTACTGAGAAACAATACAACATAATAACTAAGAAACTATTTGTGATATTAACGACACTGTATTTCCACCAGCCAAAATAAAACTTTCTCGTAAGGATGATTTAATTTCCTATAAGGATGTTCAACCCATGTTAACAGAAGAAGTGCACGATATTCTGCACATTAAGTACGGGGCCTCACTTTCCAAATTTTCTGCAAAAGAAAGAAAAGTTCAGTGCTAAGGTACTATGGGTCATTTTACTGTATATCATAAACGTACTGTCAAATAACCTTAGACCGGAACTTTTTCTTCCCTGTCTAAGAATGTTGACCACTGTACTTCATCAAGTATATCATTTATTGTATGTCAACATACGCCAAACTTCATTACAGAGAAATAAATCATCCAGCAAGGAAGTTAAATTGCCTTTTAAAATCAGAAATACTTACGAAGGCTTGTGCAAATACAGTATAACAAACATTTCTATAAGATAAACAACAGTCTATCAGCTACTGACTGTGTTCCTGTCAGCTGATCTAACAAGCGACCTGCCAGTAGTCCATGTAAAATCCATGAGTACCTCCTCCTCCTAATCCGAAATTTTCCCAAAGATTTCTGGCATCTCCAGTTCCAGCAATAAGCAACGTAGCTAAATGAACACAAATAATAATGAACAGATTGCATTCTTATTTGAATATTTAATACATCACAAAAATTGTTGAAAAAAAAGTTTCAATTTATTAACCCTATAAAGACATGGGGGTCTCAAACTATGTAAAGCCTGCCCCTTAAAAACCATAGAGTAAATGTTTAGGATTGCAATGCATGTTTTTGCAAGGCCATCTCATTGAAAAAAAATTATCGTTAACTTTAATAGTTTGAATGCTAAGGAGGTTAGAACAAAATGACAAAAAAGGGTTGCTAAAATATAAATCCTTTTTTTTTGGTTTTTGACCAAACTTAAGATTTACCCATGGTTTTGCATCTATTGTTCAAGGGCTTTTCAAAAATGTTATTCTTAAATCTGTAGCTTTAATAACGTAACAAAGTTATTCGCTATTCTAATAATTTTTTCAAAGTGCCAAAATGCATACTAATTCATTATGTCATAAGTAAAAATATAAAAGTGCTAATGCAAAAAAAAATATAGGAGAGGGGCGTCAAACGTCCCCACCCCCCAAACCTGTTTAGGGTTAACAGATGTATTCTTGAATTCCTAAAAGTTGAACTGTATTTTATTTCCGAATGGTGGGTGGGCTTGACCCCATTGGCTCTGTTAATAATTTATGATGATATTTTTTTTAAATCCGCAAGATTAGAACAATATCCGTAATATATTATCAACTTACACAAGGCTTCTGCCTGGTTAAATCTAACTCCCCATCTGAAAGGCGTAGTAAATGTGCAAGCAGTTGCTGAAACCAAACCAGTTGCACCAGGAGCTGCACTGAACTTTTGACCACATATTCTGGAAAGTTCATTCATTATTAAACCATCTTTATTTGCTATAATATGCAAAATGATTATTGTGTTAGGGCGTGCACACTTGTACTGGATACTTATTTAAACTCACCCCTCCACAGTTTTTAATAGTTATATTCATAACCAGATAAGAAAAAGATGTACACAATTTAATGTATCCTTATTTAAAGTGAATTAAACTAAAGATAAATTCAATACATTAAGAAGACAAACGGAAAAAAATACTAATGGTATTTTTTATTGGTTCAATTCTTATTATCATTGCAAAAACTTGTGTTAGAAACCTATACTTACTTGTTTCTTCCAACAGTATGAGTAATAGCAGCGATAGCAGCAGTTGCAACCTGAAGATTTATGACCTCAATGTAATCTTGGTAAGCCAATGATGTAGAAGTTGCAGCAGTAATTGTACCTGAAACCAGAAACTCTTTATCCAACTCTCTCTAAAGGAATAATTTGATAGGTTGACTTTTGAAAGGAAACCCTAGTTTACAGTCAAATCTGGATTCAATAGAATACTAAAATGCTTAAAAGAAGTCACATAATCAAAGATATCAGAAGTACAAACTCTAATTGGATCTACAAGAATTTCTTAGGTTGCACCCTTGTGAAGTTTGAAAGACCTTTTGTACAATCATTATCCAAGCCAGTAAAAGCAACAAAAATAGTCCATATATTCTCATATCAGTATTCAATCAGGTTATATAGTAGCCCGGGAACCCAGCTTTGTTCTAATTGAGTTCCCCAATCAAAATTTGAGACAATCAGTCAAGGTATTTACAAAGTTTGCTCGAAGACATTCAAACAGACAGTCATGTGCAGAGATTACTAAAATATTTATAGAGAAGCCAATTGATACATACTGCCACAAAGACTTCCGGTTACAGCTGTTGAGGCAGTGCCAACTCCGGAAGCACTAATTCCAAAGGATGTCCGAATAATAGCAGCATTTGTTCCTGTGATAGTTGGTGAGAAGCATATTGAGCAATATCCTCGTTCTCTTCGGAAGCAAATATCATAATACTGACTCCTATAACCAGTTTTTCTTTAGAATCAATTATTTGTTGATAAAAAAAGAAGTAAGGTATTTAAAACTATGAGGGAAAAAAACTTACGCTAAATGGACATGTGAGGTAGTAGACAGAGTTGTAACTGATGTATCCCAAGCAAATGAGAAAAATTTCCCAGTTTTTCCAGTGTGGTACTGGAGGCAATCTTCTTGTGGAACAGATGTGCTGCCACACTCATACTGTTTCACCTAACATATTCTTTCTTTGACAAATTTTACTTTGAACCCGAATTGTTTTTATTCTAAATTTAGGTCCACATAAATTAATGTAACATGTAGTGATAACCAGAAAACTCTGAACTAAGCAGACGACTTTTAGAATCAAGTTATGAATACTTTAAAAAGCATAACGAGTATGAAACACAGCTTTTGTGCAGGGTAAACAGACCATTTCACTAAGTTAGTGATTTAATAAGTGACTAGTAAAACTTTTTGCTTTGTATCAACATCAAATACACATATTAAATAATGCATCCAGAGTTTTAATTTATTGTAACAAAGTTGAAAAAATTAATGTTTATTTTTGATGTGATGCAAGGATATCGGAGGAAATGTCACATTGCCCTGGCTTCCCTTGACCTTGTTGGGTTCCAAAGCATCCCTAGCTACACGCTTCAGATGCTTGAGGACCAAACAAGGTCACAGGAAGTTTTTGAAATGTAATATTTTCTCATTGCAAACCTATTGCCTCTTGTAATGAAGAGATACATATTAAATAATTATAACCATTCGCAGAATGACCCTATGTATTCGACATTGAAGAATATTTTAGTATTTTTTCTTACATTTTTGGTTCTGTAAACTTATTTTATTCTTAACCAAACTTTAAAAAGTGTAATATGTCTCAAATGAATCCGAAAGAAGTTTTCGACAACACTGCATACTCAGTTCAACTACCTTACATAGCCGGTCACTCCCTTTAAGAGCATAATTAAATTTGTTTGTCAAATTTCACAAGAAAGGATGATCTTCACAATGCACAGTGTGTCAAGGGCCGGTGAAAATTAAAATTTTGAATAGTATGTTGTGAATTTAGGGTTGTTAATCATTTTAAATAACTATCGAAAAAACGACGGGTTACCTGCAGTTCACAATGCTTTGAACTTTTGAAATACTAAAATAAAAAACTTTATGACTGTTTTCTTAAAAACGAGTGCTTTTTAAAAAAAATTATATCAACTAAGAAATTGATTTTTTACTTCAAATATAAATTTTCTAATTTAATCTTTGCAAACAGATGGTGAAAACGACATCTGAAGAAATCATGCGTTTCATGTTTTCAATCTTTATAACCTTAGAAGGTAACCGTCTCCTGTTTATACGCTTACATGATTATAACCTATTTTGTAAGTAACTTGTATTTAAAACTTGTGTTCAGACATTAAAGGGAGTGACCGGCTATGTATGGTAGTTGAACTGTTACACGATGTATATTTTGATGAGTTTGAGTGCATAGTCGACATTCAAAATCAAGAACTTGGATGGGCCCGTTTTCAGAATCTGTTTTTTAAAATTATTAAATAACGACGACGAAAAATAAAGTAAAAATTAATTAGTTAACTAATAAGAGGGTTAGGAACATATTTCTCAAAAGAAATTTGTCAATAAATCAATGCTAGAATCAGTTATTTCATTTTCATCAATAAATTTAATTTCTTATTTTCTATGAATTTATTCGCAGATTTCTACAAATTCTTCAAATATCGTTTTTTCAATAATAATTCTAGAAAATCTGCAGAAAATATTTGTGAATAATGAGAAACTAGAATGATGAGAAATAGAAACTAATAATTGAATATGAAAACATAACCACCCAAAAGTACGATTTTGAACGTCGACTTTAAAAAGTGTTAATGTCTCAAATGAATCCTTAAGTATTTGTCCACAAAACTGCATGCTCAGTCTAACTACCTTAAATAGCCGGTCTGTCCCTTTAAACCACTTATCCTTACCTGGGTTTGTAATCTTCACAACATCATATAAACACTGACCAGTCTAAATTTAAAATAACACGATTATGGTTTATGCGAGGAGAAAAGTTCCATTGGCGTTGTAATCTCTGGCTGAAGAAAAAACTGGCGTTAAAAGGACTGGACTTTCAGGATAATTTATTCTGCTGAACACTTCATGGTTACACCCACATTCCATAATAATTTGAACCTGTTTGATCAGGAGTGTGAAAAGACAACTTTTGATTCTTTCTTAAAAACTAATAATACTCCATAGAGAAATAAATAATATATCTTTCAGTAAAGTGACAGTTCATCTGGACATTAACATTCTCCGCTAAGACCAGCTTAGACCCAATATTTCTTGATACAAACAAACTAAAAAGATCATTCATGAAAGGCAAATTAACAGACAAATAAAAAAGTTTAATAAATAAAGGCAAATGAAACTCAGAGAAAACAAAACAAAATGTTTATGTGAGTTGTTGTTTTAATCTGCTCACTGCAGACCACTGATCAGGTGTGCTGAGGTACGTTTTCAATCAATCAATCAATCAATTTTAAAGGGGCTTCATAAGAATCTGAAATGTAAAATCTATTTTGAAATTGTATGCTCGATAATTTTGCTTTTATTAATTTATGCCAAACAAATTTAAAACGATTGGTAAACCCGTTTTGAAAAATCGTTTTGTCAATATCTTTGACTACAGAAAATAATGTGCTAAATGTAATAAAAGCAAAAGCAAACTAATACAAAATCGGAATTTGATGTGTGTCAAACATATCAGATCCTGTAGAGTTTGTAAAAATCCAAAAAAAACTTAAATGTTTAGAAAACGGACCTCAAACGATGCTCTTCCATACTTAGCTGTCATTTTAACATTTATAGTATATGAAATCATCGATAATGGCTGGCAATGCTAACTATATTTAAAATATTGACCGTTGGAATAAATTGTTAACAAATGGTGAGTTTAAGAATGAACGAGAAAACCCGTTATCTGAATGGAACATTCACTTCTTTGCTAAGAACGGTTTGGGAAAAGTCTAAATGTGCCAAGATTCAGTAAAATTTCAATAATATTTTTTAGTTAATTTGTTTTGAATTTGATTATTTCTCTTGTTGCTTGTGCAACTATCTAAGAATGCCGCGAACCACTCACATTTTTCGAAATCCGTTAAAACGTTTTCTAAACAAATAAAATATTGTAAAATATAAACTATTTACAAATGTGGCGAAAGATAATCGATGACTATAGGTTGTAATATCTGAACGATTTGTTTGAAATTAAATTGATTTTTTATGGTCTAAGTCATATGTTGCAATTTTCTGAATTTGTATGGGCGCTAACTAAGTTATTCGGTATGAGACGTCTTTAACAATTTTCTCCTTATAGACGCAACTGATAGAAGTCAAATTAGTGTAAGTAAGTAAGTAAGTAAGTAAGATTTATTAGAGATAAATCAAGATCATAATACATATTATAATATGATTAACATTCTCATAAGAATATAATTGAATATATCATGGGTTTTATCACAGATTAAGATAAGGTTATATCATAGGAAGTTTAATTTTCTCTGCATATAGGGAATAGCAGATTTTCTGTATTTCTCCGTTCTAGCATAGTTGACAGTAAATAGTTCAACGTTCCGTAGCTGGTGGTTGTGAGTGACTGGTTCTACCGGGAATAGGGCAGAATGCCTTTGAGATTTTNATTTCAACAGCCTCAGACCAATACTTTTTGAGTTATTTAAAAAAAACTACAGGGGGGGGGGTCAAATTGACCCCCCCCCCAGCAGGAATAGGGTTAACTACTAAATTCTTTAATTTTTACCATTTCAATTTTTTTGCGCTTCGTTATCACTTTTAATCTTGCTTTTTATTTTTTTGGGATTTTTGTATTTATTTCTTTTAAGTTTGTTGAAGTTTGTTAAATTTAAGTTTTGCAGAATAAACTAATACAAGTACTAATTTCTAGATACTTTAGAATGGTAAACTGTTTTTTCAAAAATTCGTAAGTTTTCTGTTTGCGTGCCTCAATTGCAAAGAGAATAGAATATATATTAGAGGGGAATTTAAAGAATCTCTCGGTATGATTTTTTTTCAGTTCCTTTCAGCCTGAAAGGGAGTTCAAAGTGTACAAATCATGTAAATGTTCACAAATTATATATAATACAAAATCGGAATTTGTTGTGTGTCAAACATATCAGATCCTGTAGAGTTTTTAAAAATCCAAAAAAACTTAAATGTTTAGAAAACGGACCTCAAATGATGCTCTTCCATACTTAGCTGTCATTTTAACATGTATAGTATATGAAATCATCGATAATGGCTGGCAATGCTAACTATTTTTAAATTTTGACTGTTAGAATAAATTGTTAACAAATGGTGAGTTTAAGAATGAACGAGAAAACCTGTTATCTGAAGGGAGCATTCACTTCTTTGCTAAGAACGGATTGGGAAAAGTCTAAATGTACCAAGATTCAGTTTAATTTCAAATTCAACAGAGTTTTGGCAAATAAAGATTTTTGGACTCCTTCCTCCCTCCTTTTTAAAAAAAGTGTACATGAAATTTGTATTATTTCATGTCAATTTCTTAATGAAGGGGGCGGGAGGGGCGAATGAGGGGGTCCTAAAGTTTCCAAAAACATTCTGAACGTTAGTAGTGGCTTTGCATTTTTATCAACTATAAGAAAGAGACTGAAAGACATTTACATCAAGTAGTTAATGCAGAAATGATTGAAACCCCAAGTTTTTATACATATTTGTTCTAATTAAGGTAGACATGTATATCATAATCTTATCTATATATAAATTTGGCTTGTCTGGGTGTTTGTTTGTTTGTTTGTTTGTTTGTATCCAATAAACGTCAAAACGTCTGAACCGATCGGGCCCAAATTTTTTGTGGGACATCACTTCACCACAGGGAAGGTTTATGAATGATCAAAATTTCAAATATTTGTCTTCATCAAAATTCGATCTTATTTAAATTTAAGAAAACTAGAAATTCAAGGCTAAAAT